TGGATGAATTCCACCGGTTACGACTTGTAATTTGAACACCCGGAGTAGCACATTTCAAGTTAATTACCAGATAGTACATGATATTTATTAGTATCGGAGATATGAGGGAGTTTTTTACTCTCATAGTTCTACATCACGGATTGTTTGTTATTATTGACTTGAAGTAATTGAAGAGCTAATCAACCATTTATGTTGTACCTATTTACGTACAATACTTCCATATTAAAACCAATCATACTATATCTAATTAATTTCCCCAACAAATAATTTCACTACAGAAACGAGCAAAACAAAATTGAAGCCTAATGTATTTATGAATCATCTAAACTATATGATAAGATGAAGTCTCATTGAAATCGTTAACCGATCTAAGTTAAACCACCACTGGACACCTTTAAGCACTGAATGACCGTTCCGTCTTAATATGTCGCTCAGCTGTGCACATCCATGACCTTGAAACTGAGAGTCAAACCTAGGACCTTTGGTTTCTTGTTCAAACCCTACCAAACAAAAAGATGTAAAAAATAAGTTTATGTTTATAATATGAACGGACTTATCCGGTCATCATATTGTACAGTTTATAGTTGGGGACAGATAAACGTTAAACAAGTAGAATATTAAAATGAATATTGTTTTAGAATAGATCGAAAAGTTCTATGGGAATTATTCAGTTTCTCTTTTGAAGTAAATCATAATAAAGATCCTTTTTAGTAGGAAAGGTAAACACGTAATAGTTTATTTAAAATACAGAATCAAAAACAAACTAAAGCGAGTAAAAAGTAGGATATTTGACAGTGAATTTTCACGGAAGCTGTATGAGTTCGGTGAATGTAAATTCTATTGAAAAGCTTTAGAAATTTTTTATCCCCCTGATGATTCTTGTGTAAGCACAAGTGAAGAGTTTCATATTAGAATGAAATAGATGTCCAGATAACTTTTGTTTTCAATGATTATTTAGCTAGAAATTAGACCATAATCAAAACTGTCTCCAGATTGAACAACCCTTAAGGACATTCTACTCAAATATTTGTCATGCACTAATTAATAACTAACTTTGGTAAAAGTTCAAATGGTTCAGTTGAATTTACCTAACCAACATAATTCAGTCGTTTCCGGGTCGGGTTGGGGGAACCAACGTCAAGATAAGTAGTGTTGACTATACAATTCCACTCCCGTAACAATCATCATAAAGGTTTAGTAAATATGTATTGCCATGAATCTTTGAAGTTGAGTGGTAGATAATTTTATTCGTAATTTTACCCTCATCGACTTTTAAAGTTAGGCCGTCATTTGTGAAGTAGATTGTAACATAACATTTATAGCTTCTTTTCATTCATTGTGGCACTATGAAATTTCGCGGTAAGATTGTGAGATTTTGTCATAACTTGTCGGAAAATCAGTCAATTGAAATAACAAGTCAGTGAATAGTGGAAATCTGTATCAAATATTATCATAAATAACCTCCCCTCTAACAATACACATAACATCATTATTACCCGAATATTATTATTATTATGGAACTCTTCAGAAGTCTACATCTGCGAACCTACTACAGGAAATCAAAACCCGTGCACAAACGTTTGATCCCTATACTGATGATCCAACATTCAGTGATTAACACGTTAAACCAAGTTGAATGTGAGTCTATTGCCCATCAAGTACAGCAGTAGATAGTTGCACGGTATTACGACATGATTGAAGTTAAACATGTACATCATTGAATGAATTTTCAGTGATCTAAAGGTTAAGCATTCACTGTGAGAGCTAAATTTCTGGGTTCGATCCCTAATGAAGGAAGTCGTGATTATGCACTCTCGAAGGGTCTGGTACCAGAGTGTAACAGCTATCTAATGCTTGTTGATTTTTTATAGTTGCTTAATTAATACGAGTCCATGATTTCAGCGAAGTGATTGTAACAATTATCCCCATTAACCCCTGTACTGATCTAAGTAAGACATTTTGAAGTCAACCGAAGAAACAAAAGATAAAATAGGTGAAATTATGTAGCAGATAAGTTTTTCACTTGTTTTTTTCCGCATTAAAATATAGATTACCACTGTAATTATTCCTTCTCTGATGTGTACAAGTAAACCTACATATATATCATAAAAAATTATTTTACGAATTCACAATCATGAATACGCACATTTGTAAATACTTACATAGGCAGATAGATAGAGAGACAAAGATGAAGGTAATTCGGGTCTATGAATATTCATTTATGAACATAATACTGAAGCAACCATAGCAACGTACTTAAGTACACACTAACTACTATACACCATAATCAGATATAATTCAAACTTTAATATAAATAAACCTATACACCTATGTATATATATCGTTTTGAGAAAGGAGTAAAAAAAAAAGAAAGTTGGTAAATGATGAAAAATTTTACAGCAAACAAAAACAAAGTAAAAATGAAAATGTTAAAACGAAAAAAAAAAGAAGAAAAAAAGTAACCCAACCAAGACTACAAACGTTTACAAAGTTTTTAAATAGAATGAAAATGAAGTTTTTTTTGTTTTTATCTCCCTCTACTTTTTCACAGATCATAAAGTTAATTTTTACTATCTTAAATTGGGGGAGATTTTGTAATCGTTTTACAAATTTTTCAATATTATGAACCGCCTCCACACCCCCCCATTATTTTCTAGCTAACTATACATATATATATACACTTATGTATATGTGTGTACATGTGTACATATATGTACATTCCTTGTACCTGTATTATATGGTAAATATCAATTTTATTCAATCTGTGGTTGCGTTTATTTCTTCACTGAAGTAATTATTCAATAAATTATAATTTCGCAATATAATAACCGTTGATGATTACGTAAGGCATATATCATAAATTATACAAGTGAAGAGAAAAAAATAAGTCCAAATAGACTATAATTTTGTCTCATTTTATGAATGAACATAAGAATTTGTAACTTTACAATATTGCCATAATATGAATAATAATAATTTTTGAAACAATTCTTATGTTCATAAGCAAAGATGGATAGTGACTAGCAGTGGAATCCAGTTTGACGCGCGTTTCATCCTATTTGGGACTCGTCAGCTGGAATGTACCTGCATCTCAGAGTTGATGTTCACTCTGAGACTCGAACCCAATATATTTCGCTTCAAACACCATCGCGTTATCCACTCGGCCACTGAATCCTGATAGCCACTTACTTGTGCAATGGGGTGAAGTATAAATTGACTTGGTATCACTCGTTTGAATCTTCCCATTGATGTTTAGGTGTCCCAGAGTGAACATCAACTCTGAGATGCAGGTACATCCAGCTCACGAGTCTCAAATAGGATGAAACGCGCGTCAAACTGGATTCAACTACTAGCCACTATCCATCTTTGCTTACAATGCTTGTGAATTAAGGCTATATTGAGGCAATACGCACAGCATACACATATGCCAATTAGAGACTGACCAGTTGCAGTCCTAAATATCGATGGGAAGATTCGAACAAGTAATACCAAGTGAGTTCTTATGTTCGTTGTGAATGTCAGTGGAGACATAGTCTTTTGGGTACAGCTGTAGATGCCAATCTATTTTAAGTTTCCTACTAATTAGTATTCAGCAATAAGGAGCACCTAAAATATTGAGGGAATTGATGTTCACTGTAGTATTCAAAACCGTATCACTTACCATCTTAGTCTGTGATAACAGCACTAAGCTATTTGGGTCACGACTAGATTACCGTAGGACTCAAATGTTTACATATTCGAGGAGTGCCAACTAGTACGATATATATATATATATGCAATGAATTGACTTTTAAATTATTGTATGAGGCCAAGTTGAACATCTCAAAGAGTAGTGCGACAAATATTTAAGAGGAAACAATTGTACAATTCACAAGAAATAAATGTTTTGATAAATTTAGAGATTGCTTTAATCGATGTGTTTTTCATTCTATTCAGTTGATGTTGTTATTACAAAACACTGAAGTCAAAGACATAGTAAGTAAACTCATACATAACTGTATGTATTACTAAATTTCATAGTTAATATCACTCACTGATCCTAGTTAGTAAACCACCAGAAACCAGGAAGCATTGACACATCTCTTGACCATTGAATGTTGGTTCAATAACCTAGAGAATGTTCATGGTTCAATCCCTGGTGGGATCAAAGTTGTACAATACTGTAATAAAACAACCGTAAAATGCTTCAGGATGTAAACAACAAAGTGAAAATTATAAAAATAATTTACTAACAGGATCATTCTTAATATTCACAGATCATCTAACCATCTGTTGTATATTTATTTTTGCTTTTTCTTTTTTGTGATCATTTTTTGAATCTATAATTTAATAATGTAGTATTACTTAGAGAATTATGAATGGTAACTTTTGAGGACTGTTTATGGACCAATGTGATGTGTATATTTCCTATTGTATAACTGTTAAGTAACTAAACTATTCATATTCGTGTTCCTCTTATTATAAGCTTTATTTTGACTTATAGACTATTATTATACGATTTACCATTGTTGAGTTATCCCTAGTCCATTAATTACTGTTCCCCCTATTCACAGCCACATTTAGTCAAATCTTGTACAAATGTTATTTTCTATTTTATGGTACGATATGGTCTGTTTGATTGGTATATAACCCCAGTGTGTTTGAGAATAATGATTAATATTGCAGAGGATGTTATTGGTGTTCTGGACTTAACTGGCTGGGCTAGGCTGATTTATACTCAAGACTGCTCATACGGCTTTCGGGTATTTTTGATCCGATCGATAAATTCTCTCCTTCCTCATTGGCGGAAATCAGCACGTTCATATATCAAACATGACACACACGCACACAATCGATATAAAAACTGGTGACGAGGATGGGATACAAATCCATGTGGGGAAACCCCAATGGATTAGCACTCAATCGATATAACAAATCATCCATTTTAATTTATTACCAATGAAAATATCAGAGAATATATGAAAATCTTGTTTTTAATTTATACATTTTTATTTTTTTAGTGTACACATTTCTGTCCAAAATTATGGAATTCAGTTAAAAATGAAATGGAATTTCCAATGAATATTAATCCCCCTATTCCTATCCCAAATAATTCAATTGAGAATAATCATAATTCTGATAATAATGATTATGAATTTACAAGATCAAATATTTGTAATTTATGTAATGTGACAGAACAACTTTGGTCATCATCGTCATCATCAACATCAACGTCAACATCATCATCATCATCATCGTCATCGTCGGAACCATTAGCTATAGAATCATCATCATCATTATCGGATAGATTAGAAGATAAACAAACAACATTCTCACAATCATTTGAATTGATTAATTTACATTGTACTTCATGTCATGAATGTATACATGACAAATTATTCTTATGTATGGATAATAAATATTGGCATTTGAATTGTTTAAGATGTTATAAATGTGGTATTACATTACAATGGGAGAAAACATGTTTTGTTAAAAATGATATGGTTTTTTGTCGTGAACATTATAAAAGGTAAGTTAAAAATAGAATTTTAAATTAAAGTAAAATGATTAGTGGATATTAGAAAATAGTTGTATTGTTGAAGCTAGACCAGCATGGAAAACCTAGAAGCACTCGACGGTTGTTTCGTCCTATTGTGGGACTCCTCAAAAGTGTGGATCCACGACCTCGCCTCGCGATATTCGAACCCAGAACCTATTAGTCTTGCACCAGAGCGCTTAACCGATAGACCACTGATTAGGAAATAGTGACTGGTCAAAGTTTTTTTTTTTAATGGATACATTTAGCTCAAATAGATGTTAGTGATTTCAGTATTGATTATGATCGTGAATGATGAGCATAAAAATCATAAGGAATGTCAAGTTTTTCAGAACTTAAAATACTTAATGATAATTGGTACCAACTAACATGAGACCTAAGTACATAACTTGTTACCGTTTGTTTACAACCATCTAGTATTGTAAATGTATTATCTTTTTTTATCCGAAATCACTTTGGTAATTACTGTTTAAAAAGAATACTAATATGAGAATTGAAATAAGATTAAGTAAATAGATGCCAAATCGCATTTTGTTTTAGAAAACAGTGTTATTAAATTAACAGTGACACCATACATAAATCTAACACAAAAGTGAATGAAAGTTTTGACTAAAAAGATTTGTAATCACGTTTGATTGAGTATTGAAAGAATAAGTCATACATATGTATAGAAATCCATTATGTTATGTTCGAATTTATTACTACTGTCAGTGGAGAAGTTTTTCAAACAAACTCTTCAGTTTATACTGTCTAACAATAATTTCAATTTATCATTAATAATAATCGGTGTTAGTTTTAAAATCTTACATGAAGTCACCTATGCATACTGTATAGTGAGTAATATCTTTCCTTCAAGTATTTTTTAAAATATTAAAATGAACTTCACTACTAAAGTTTCAACGAATTTCAGTAATCAAAATATCTTAATTTTGAGCTTTTCACCAGCTTCATTCACTCTTTACTATTAAGATCCTAGATACCTAAACCTTTAAGTTTAATAAAATTAATTTATTTGGACGTGCGAAAACATATTGTTACAATTATATTCACTACTTACGCTTCAAAGGATGGAGCATTCTCTAAATATTCTTAAGTTACAACTTACTTTATAAATAAATTCAACTTAGTATTGTTTGTTTGAATCTTCCCATCGATATTTAGGACTGCAACTGGTCAGTCTCTAATTGGCATATGTGTATGCTGTGCGTATTGCCTCAATATAGCCTTAGTTCACAAGCATTGTAAGCAAAGATGGATAGTGGCTAGTAGTTGAATCCAGTTTGACGCGCGTTTCATCCTATTTGAGACTCGTGAGCTGGATGTACCTGCATCTCAGAGTTGATGTTCAAGCAAACAATACTAAGTTGAATTTAAACTTCACCCCATCGCACAAGCAAGTTGCTATCAGGATTCAGTGGCCGAGTGGATAACGCGATGGCGTTTGAAGCGAAATATATTGGGTCCGAGTCTCAGAGTGAACATCAACTCTGAGATGCAGGTACATCCAGCTGACGAGTCCCGAATAGGACGAAACGCGCGTCCTGGATTCCACTGCTAGTCACTATCGATCTCTGCTTACGTTATAATTGTTCAAAAACGCTTATTTTCCTTAACTATGAGTATATCATCAAAAATTCAATGTTCCATAAATTATTAAAACTAATCTACTATAACCCTAAAACAAAGTAGTCAGTTTTATGGTGAAACTTCACTGTATTTTCAAACGTAATTATTTATTAACATTGAAAGTTATTCATATTATTAGATTACATATACTGTTGTTTTTAATCGAATCTACTCATAGGAATATTCATGTGGATTGTCACATATCAGTAGCATAGGTTTTCGATAATGTTTTGTTCTCTAAGGTGGATGGATTCATCACGAAACTTTCATTATTATTTCAGACAACAGTAATAACGCTTACTTCATGTGAAAGTGAATTTTCTAATCTATTGAATAACAATGAAGGTTTTATCCAGTCAACAGAATGCACTATTGATATAAGAATCCATCCGAGCTGAAAAAAATTTAATCATCGTTACAAACATATTAATTTCCTACTTTCGTCAATAGAGTAAACACTCATTGTTACTTTGGTTTTAATGCCTTTAATGATACAGTAGTTACATCTAGCTGACTAAACGAAATGCGCTTCCACTACTAACTACATCCCACCTATTCTATCTGAATTATTATTACTGTTTCTCCTTAATCGATTGGAGACTAGCTTTTATCATTTATAAAATCTATACTAATCATAGATAAAAAATTTTGAATTATTTTTAACAAAACTTACCTACTTATAATAAGTCGTAAGAAAGTTGAATAAATTTCAGACACTACTGATAATTTGAATTGATCGAATAAACAAATATATTTCAACTGTGAAAATACTAAATTCTCCACAAAACCCCCGTCTGATCTATAATCATATGCTCACTAGTGACTGACTTCAAGAGATATTTCCTTGAGTTATAATGGGAAGCAGTGGCCAGTGGAGTTCTACCAGGTCTGTTGTAGAGATATCAACTCACTGAAGACAATTGGTGGACGGTCTCTTAAAATCGTGGATTGGTTGAAGTTAGACACTAACACCTTGAATGCCGACCAGCTCAGTGGTCTAGAGGATAAGGGCTTCGGCTCGGGATTGGTAGGTCCTGGGTTCGAATCTCGCGAGTGCGGGATCGTGGATGCGCACTGTTGAGGAGTTCCATATTAGGACGAAACGGCTGTCCAGTGCTTCCAGGTTTTCCATAGTGGTCTAGCTTCAATGGACTCATGATTTCAACTGTGAAAACACTAAATTCTCCACAAAACCCCCCTCTGATATATGAATAATCATTGACAATAAACTAAACATTAAAAGACTAAGTTGGTTGACATTTCATTGAATATATCATCAGTTTAAAAGTATGACGTTTCCATCTCACCTATTCTTTAATCTTTCACAATAATCTCTTTGTTCTCATCATCATTTCTTGTGGTTAATTTGTACATTTATGTGAATGACAAGATTAGTGAAGAATATCATTTGTGAGAATGATCATTGTGTTTATCTGTGATAATTTCTTTCTCGGTTTCTTTTTCTTGTTGTGCTATTATGTCTACCACTAACTAATATTTCTCTATTCCATAAGACAACTATGTACACACAATATCTAACATAAAAACAGTATGACAAAAAAAAGAAGACAAGCATTGTAGACAACAATTAACTATTTAACTTCATTTAATTTTAAATCAAATACAAAAACCAAGTAACTAGGTGGAATTTCAATTGTTCACTTTTAATTCTGTAATACATTTAACTTAGATTTTTTTCCCTGTCCACTATTTGTCTGTTCAATAACAGAAATGATATTAACCCAAACGATTCATAAAATTTGACATGTATTTATTATTATTATTTTTGATGAAAAGAAGCAAATAACACATTCAAATGTTGATGATAGAGATGGCTAGTGGGAACTGTGTACACAGGATACATATATATATAATCTTTATTGCTGTTTTTCAAACCGTAATACGGTGCACTTGTTTTGTGCTGAGAAATAATCTATGATCAGGTTAAACTAATGAAGATTGCACCATAGTCAATGAATCATTAATCGTTCTGTTTTAATGTATGTTGTGGTCTACTTTGTTAGGTATTTGTATGCATATATATGTACGTATCATAATAAGCAAATGCATTTATTAATGTCTATAAAGTTTTGTGTGATTTTTGCACTGGAGAAAAAAAATAACACGACATTACATTTGTGTATTCTTTACCCATAAGTTACACAAAATGTTTACAGTGTGTGTGTGTGTGCATGTGTGTGCAAGAGATAGACATTTGACAGTTAAAATAGTTGTAGTGAACATTAGTATAAAAATTTTTTATTAGGATTCTTAAAATGCATCATGTCAACACAAAAATACAACTATACAAATGAAATAATGAAAGGAAGATATAAGGGGGAGGGGGAAAGTGAAGAATAATTTAAAGAAATCATAGAATAAAAACACCACCACCACCATCTCAAAAGCACATCAACTAACTGATCATTATTAAAAGACAAAATGTAATATACATTAGAGATTAGTTGAGGTAGTAGCAATATCAGTGTGTGTGTGTGTGTAGTTGAGGTAATTTTAAAGCACATGAATCTATCTGTATATGGGTAGAGAAATTTTCACATATCAAATAATTAGTTTACCCCTAGAAGTAAATAATCGACAACAACAAAAAAACGCACAGTAATATCTTGACCAAAAATCTTTTGAATTTTTAAGAAAAAAAATTAAAAAAACTTTTTTTCTGGTTAAAATAAAAAAATACGACATGAGTGTAGTTAGCAGGGAAGAGAAGGAAAGTAATAATAGTAACGATTATTATTATTATTATTATTATTATCGTCATCATCATAAAAGACATGGATACTAGCAATAACTACAAAATGTAATGAAATTTAATTTAATAAATAAAAAAATTATAAATTACTCATGTAAAAATCTCTGAAAGGAATAGAATTCTGATTATCAATATAATAAATCAGTGATTTAAACGAAACAAATATGCAAGTACTCCCCCAGTCCCACACATGCACACACACACACACACTTACAGGCAAGCAGGTTCATAAAGAGAAGTCTATGAAACGAAAAAAAATATGTTGCTTCATTTCATTCTGTTAAACTTAAACGAAATAATCATAACATGACTAGAAAATCTTTAAAATAGAATATGAGAGAGAAAAAAAAGCACATCGTTAATGGTGTATTGGTCTAGACACTTTTGAAGATAATACCGATATATTTATACAATTGTGTATTCGTTATTATTATTATTATGATCATTATTGTTTGCATTCCTAGTGTGGTTACAATCACAGCATGACAAGTTATAAATTATTTGCTTTATCATTCGGGTTGTATGACTGTTTACTGTATTAAAGAGGAAAATTAATAAAAAAACAACGACAGAT